TACCAGGCTGTTTTGACTACTGTACCTGTATAGTAGTTTCTGAGGTCAGGTAGTGCGAGTCCTCCTACTTTATTCTTCTTCTTTACTAGTGCTTTACTTATTCGGGGCTTCTTCCCTTTCCATATAAAGTTAATGATTAGTTTTTTCATCTCTTTAAAGAACGTTGTTGGTATTTGGATCGAGATTGCACTGTATCTGTAAATTGCCTTGAGTAGAATTGTCATTTTCACTATGTTGAGTCCACCTATCCATGAGCATGGTATGTTTTTCCATTTATGTAGATCCCTTGCAGTAGTGTTTTGGAGTTTTCTTTGTATAGGTCTTTTACATCCCTGGTTAGATTTATTCCTAAGTATTTTATTTTTTTAGGGGCAATTATAAATGATACTGTTTTCCTGATTTCCCTTTCATTGTTCTCTTTATTGGTGTATAGGAATCCAACTGATTTTCGTATGTTTATCCTATATCCTGCTACTCTGCTGAATCTTTCTATTAGTTCTAGTAGTTTCCTTGCAGAGTCTTTAGGGTTTTCTATGTATAGCATCATATCATCTGCAAACAGGGACAGTTTAACTTCTTTGTTACCAATTTGGATGTCTTTTATTTCTTTTTGTTGCCTTACTGCTCTAGCTAGGACTTCCAGCACAATGGTAAACAGGAGTGGAGATAAACGGCATCCTTGCCTTGTTCCTGTTCTCAAGGGGAATGTTCTCAGCCTCTCTCCATTAAGAATGATGTTGTCCATAGGTTTTGCATAGATGCCCTTTATTATGTTGAGAAATTTCCCTTCTATACCTATTTTATTGAGAGTTTTTATCAGGCATGGGTGTGACTTCGTCAAATGCCTTTTCCGCGTCAATTGAAATGATCATGTGATTCTTTTTTCTTTCTTTTTATTTATGTGGTGGATCATGTTGATTTTCTAATGTTGAACCATCTTTGCATACCTAGTATGAATCTTACTTGGCCGTGGTGTGTTACTTTTTTTGATACGATGCTGAATTCTATTGGCTAGAATTTTGTTGAGAATTTTTGCATCTATATTCATGAGAGATACTGGTCTGTAATTTTCCTTTTTTGTGTTGTCTTTGCCTGGTTTTCGTATCAGGGTTATGCTGGCTTCATAAAATGAATTCAGAAGTATCCCTTCCGTTTCTATGTTCTGAAATAGTTTGAGTGGTACTGGTATAAGCACTTCTCTGAATGTCTGGCAGAATTCTCCAGTGAAGCCATCTGGGCCAGGGCTTTTTTTTGTTGGGCGTTTTTAATTACCTTTTCAATCTCTTCTCTTGTTATGGATCTGTTCAGATTTTCAACATCACTTTGTTGTAGTTTGGGTAGGTAGTATGTTTCTAGAAATTTATCCATTTCCTCTAGGTTTTCAAATTTGTTGGAGTAGAGTTTTTCATAATACTCT